TTTGCCCTACCTGACGTGGAAATGTACCGAATACTCAGTACATTTGAAAACAACTGCGAAAAAAATCGAAAGTTGTTCTCGGGTGGACTCGAAACCACGATCTCCAGATCACTAGCCTGACATCATACCTCTAGACCACCGAGCATCATACCTCTGGACTCGAATTCAACCCTGGCCATCAGGTGCAAGCTCGGTGGTCTAGAGGTATGATGCTAGGCTAGTGATCTGGAGATCGTGGGTTCGAGTCCCACCGAGAACAACTTGCGATTTTTTCGCAGTTGTTTTCAAATGCACTGAGTATTCGGTACATTTCCACGTCAGGTAGTGCAAAATTACACCTATACAAATAATAATAATAATATAAATCTTAACAGAAAAAGATGTAAACATGTTACTTCATACTTTTATTTCCACCTTAAATTTGTTTTGTGTTTCCCGTTTCCTGAGTCACACTATGTGCATAAATGTTTGATATGACGCAGTTGTACATTTCATCCACAGTAAAGTAATATAGATCGATATTGATACACACAGGATAGTACGATGTAAACATTCGACCAACACATTTAATGAGTTGACAATGCTGGGTAGACTCAAATAGTTATTTATACTACTGGATTGGATGTTTCATGATGTCGATAATGTAAGCCGGACTGACGACCGTCGGCGGACGAATCCAACTCCGCTCTCCGTGTGAGCGCTAGACAACGCGACGCCGCCTGCTGATTGTCGGTGGCAATCTGAACGCATCGTCATTCAAAATGATCTATTGCGCGCTCGTCGTGCCGTTGCGTTCTCCATAGAATCGCTTCGGCCGGCTACCGTCGGGCGCGCAGTGAGTCCCCGGCTTACTAAACGCTATAAATATGCGTGCCTGTGAGGAATTATTACTAGCTGAACGTGTTAGCGATTTGAGAATACTGATTCTTATGATCGTAAATGCTGAGTTTTAAAGTTCCCTGGGATTAGACCGGCTATTAAATTTAGCTACCATCTAGATAAAGTTAACATTAAACGGATAAATCCAACCCCATCGTACGTTGGAGATTTGAAAGTCGGGTGACTGGAGAAGCCTATTAAATAAAAAATAGAGACGTTATGTCTGAGTAACAGTGACTTCAAACCGATATGCTTCCCTTTGTAATTATTTGGTCACTGGGCGAAGGTAATGCTGAAACATTACTATGTCTTTACCGCAGTGTCCTGTTTATCTGCATGTCATCACCAAATACAATCATCAGACACACCCACGAGTATATTTTCTTAAAGTACTTCCATAATGATCAATTTGTAGCGAGACATCATGAGAATTTATAAGCTATCTCGTACAGCAGCGGCGGAATTGGGTGGTGCTCTCACCCCCCGCCCCCACAAGAGAATAAAAAAAAGGAGAAAGTTGGTGCACGGTACTCCAAGACGAGCTAATTGTCGATTAAAATTGAACCTTACCACATCCGTTAAGATATTTATGTTCAGCCAGTTAGTTTTTTGTTCGTTTGTTTGTTTTTTTGTTTTTTTTTGTTTTTTTTTGTTAATTTTTGGCGAACTTGTTTAGAAAACATTTGTCTACAATTATAATAAATGTCAGTCACGAAATTATGTCTAGGCCTATGTATCATGCCGTAGCCGAGTACCTCTTTTAGGCTTATACTTATAGCGAACTGACACGACGAATTGGTATTTGGCTTTACCGTAAAATTATCGCTGCTGCGGTGCACTGCGCATCACGTCACTTTGGAAAAAAAAGTTTAGTTAAGCACACATGTTATAGTTATGCCTTTCAATTTTTCATCCTAGATAAGCCGTTTCCGTTTATCAAGTACAGTAACATATATAAAGGTGTCGAGGCACACAGTAGTTTATCTTCAAATATGTTTAACACGCGAAGCGGCATACAATGCAAACATATTTCAGAAAAGAAATTCATCTGGATCCAAATTCGATAGTTTCAATATTCTTTTTTGTTGAGCCAAGAATAAAAACGTAGGCTTACCTGGCCGTTTCAATCACGATCGGCGATCTTTTTCGCGATCGAAACGTGCAGGTAAGCTACGGTATACGTTTTAATTCTTGGTTAAAAAAAAAAAAGAAAAAAGAAAAGAATATTGGAAACTAGCAAACATATTTGTAAAGTATACACATATTACACGCTTTGATCTGACGAAATGTCATGTTCAAAAATGAGGCCATCGTTTTGTCATTCAATCGTTAATCAATCAATTGAATGACAAATTATACCAAACGAAATGCCCTAAATATTCGTTTCATAGGCCATAAAGAGTTATCTCGAATGGCTATCTCACATGGACACATTAGGCCTACAGTATTGGTAGCTAATTTATCCTATCTATCGTATCGCAGGGCCTATCTATGTTCTCAGTTGGGAAATATCTCTTAATAAAGAGTTAGGACGATCCAACATAATGTTTATAAATTTTACTAGAATCATCTTTAAATTATTGGCCATGAGATGTAAATATTTAAACAAAAGTAAAACATATAAAAAAGACAGAAATCAAGAATTAAAACAGACGGATTCAGGTTCACCAAGGGTTTAATACTAACCCTACAGGGCTCCATTTCCCCAATAAAAACAACTTTCAAAACTACAACCTTTAAAAGGTCTTGTTCACCCTGATTGACCAAGTCTCAAACAGATTTATCGAGCAACAAAAGCCCTAATAGAACTATAGAGGGCGTCTAATCATATTTGTCAAGCTCATTAAAAGAACTGTTTTTTTTCAGTATTTATATTATGGTTCTAATTCCCTAAGCCCCGCCCCTTTGAAATTGTTGCTAAGTTCACACAACACGACAGTAGCCATGTTTACACGACCTTTGAAATTACTGATCCGTTATTCTGAGTTGCTAACATATTGTTTACACGGCCACTTAACTAACACCATCATCACATTATGATACTCGATCATCCCGATGGTCTTCTGTCGTGTAAACGTGACTAAAGTTAAAACATACCGGCCGTACGCGAACACTTTATCAATATTGCTTATCTTACAAATAATACTTAAAATTAAAAAGTCGATTGTATGCATGCGCCATCTAAGACGGTTTTTAAGCAAAGATTTTTGCTAAAAAGGTTTAATAAATCAGATTAGTAAGATATTTGCTTAGGGACATCTTAACTTTTTTGACTTAAGACATTTGATAAGCTGAGATTGATAAATCCAGGGCCAGGCCCTAATTTTGGGTTAATCACTCTTTATTGCGCGTCATACCTAATTTATTTGGCGTCCCATACTCGATTATTTTTTTCTTTCTTTATTTTGTCTCAAAATTAACTAGCTTGTTGTTGACGCTGTCCAGAATGACAAAAAGTAATACAGTAATAAGGGACTTGTGGCAAGTCTACACGTGTACTTGTTGGACACAGCGTATTCCAGACACTGTTCTGATTAGTCCGTTGTTAAGTTTGACACTCGGGAAAGGTCTATTGAGGATATGTGGATTTATGTTTTAACTTATTATCTTAGCCAAAAATACTGGAAACACAAGATAGAGTTCTCCACAGCTAAAAACTGTTCGACCGAAATGCATGGTGGGAATACAAACAATGGGGCGCCGCGTACGGCTGGATCTAAAAAAACTTCTGCCCCACCGTTACATAACTGTGAATACATAACCTACTTTTGCGGAGGTTGAAATCGTTGCCAGACCATAAGATACAAACAAGTAGGCATAAATAAATCAAAACAATAAAATGACAGACGTCTGGTTATACTGTACCTAGCAACCGAAGGGCGCCCTGTACGTCTGGACCAAGTATAGAAAACTTGCATTATAAAAGGAGAAGGGCGCCGCGTACGTCTGGATCAATTTCTGCCTCATTTTTGCTATGCCAGTGCTCTATCTTGTATTTCTAGTATCTTTGTCTTAGCTGCCAAAAGCAACATTAGAATTCTTCAGCAACACTGTAAGCCAGGCGAAAAATAATGTTAAACAATATTTATTTATTTTCCTCGTTTTAGTAAAAAAAAAAAAAAAAAAATTGAATTTAAGGAAAGTAATGGTGCAACAAAAGATAACAAAAAACCCCCAGTGGAGGCCATCACCCTGCCTTCAAACCTCATCCCCGCATAAAATTAAGTTTTTAAACATATCCGTCACAAATAATGCATGTATTCACCAATGTTTTTTGCTCTCTTACAGTTGACAACTTCTGTGAATCTAAGTCAAGTTCAACTTGTTTTCGATTTCCTCTTCAATCTGAAGTTCACGATAAATCTATCTCGTCCGCTCAGCTTTACTTTTATCGTGTTGCATCACCGAACGACGAAGATGATCAAACGTTGTCAGTGATGCAGCTTGGACACCAAGGTCTGAAACCTATAGGCGAGGTCCGCACCTCTAACAGGGAGGGCTGGGTTCAGATGGAAATTAAAGAAACAGTTGCTCGTTGGCTGATACACGATGTCGACAATCGCGAACTGATGGTACATTGTAAAACTTGCCAGTCACAGAACTCGCCAATTTCGCTTACTGGCTCTAAACGCCCATTTCTGTTTATAAAGACTGATACACCGACTTCGAGGCGGACCACAAGATCGATATATTGCAAACCCGGGATCAAGCAATGCTGCCGCCAAGACTTCTACATTTCATTCGCAGAAATCGAATGGGACGACTGGATTATACAGCCGGTTGGATACGATGCGAATTTCTGCAAGGGTAGCTGTACACAGGGCACATCACCACTTTCCCACCACACAAGTATTATCTACTCGGTTGCCATGAAGGAAAAGGACAAAGAAATCCGCGACTTGTTGACGCCGTGTTGTGTACCGTCAAGCTTTTTACCGCTGGAGATCGTTTACCATACTGATGACGATTCGATCTATAGGCGCAGTATTCCAAACATGACAGCACAAAGTTGCAGATGTGGCTAGATCTCTCACCTGCCTTGTTATGGCCATTCCTGTCTCTCTTCATCACTGGTACATCGAAAATAGTTTCGCGTGATTGATTGACGTGTGAAAAACAGATTTAGCAGCATCGAGATGGAATATAGTCATCGTTGCATCTGCTAGTGAGTCTCCTTTCATCACGAAATAATGTATAAATGTGTTGTGCGCATGCGCTTAAAAACTGTATTTGAGGAAAAAATAATGAGACATTTTAACCTACCAAAGCGAACTATCCCATTTGCAATATTAACTCTATGTTTTGTTTAATACAGTATATTAATTGGCATAGTGTGTACTCCGGCCAACTTGATGCATCGCTCACACTCGGACATACTTTGCTGGGCGTCAGATGTTACTGAATGCAATGTCAAAGATTATACAAATGTACTTTATATATCAGTATTATATAAGTTCAACACTTATTGCATTGGTTGTAATTTATATAAATCAAATAATAATCTGAAGTTATGTCAACAAACTAGTTACTTTTAAAAAAAGAATGCAAATATGACGATCAAGTTAGCTAATTTAGACGATGTCTACAATGGACATGAATTAAGAATTTTTTTATTTTTTTTTAATTTTTTTTTATAATTAAAAATTAATCGGGAGGATATTGCCTGTTCTTAAAAGTTTGCATACTGCCAATTTTTTGAAAAGGGATTCATCGGGTGCGTGCTAATCTCTATTTATATTATACATGTTTTCACTTATTTTGAATATTATTCATGTAATACCGATATATTTTTTTATATATTATGTGATATATTTATGTATCACATATTCACATGTTCAAAAAATCAATTCGTTAAAAACTATGTTGTGACAAATTGAGCATGTTTACGCGTGAGCGTGACTTTTTCTAGCATAAATCTAAAGTCTACGTTCTTAAATTATCAGATCTCCAATGTATTTTTTAAAACAATATTTTGGAGTACATTTATATTATTGTGTTAGGATGTATTGTAAAATCTATATTAATCGTATTTAGCATAAAATGCTGAAGCTTCGACTGAGCCCTTTACTTGGGCTTTGATTTCCCATGTTGCTAGAAGAAATCGCGAGCAAGTTATCTAGGCCTGCCTACCACCGGAGCAGCCACAGGGTGCAAAGGTGTAGCAGCTTTGACAAACGCGTGGGGAACCCAAGGACGCCTACGAAACGTGTGTGACAAGTATGCACCATATGGTTATCATAATGGTTATGGCTACAATGTGAATAAAACGCAATTTTAGCACAAACGTTTGGTTTTGATATTCTCTCTGTGTATGTCTTTGATTACACATTTTAAGATGCGGTTCTTCACTGACAACTGTACACACATAATATATATTTTCACTTTCAAGATTTATTTATTTGTGTCCTTTCGGAAATTCAGCTGGTACATCACACTGCAAAATGAGTTCAAAATTCAATAAATAAATAAATAAATAAATATATATATATATATATATATATATATAATTATTTAATAGGTCCTAAAACCTATTTTATATTATTTTGATTAAGAATTCTAATGTATAGTGGTATGAATGAGTTGGGGTATCTATTTTTCTACAAAGTTGTGTAAGTAAACATGCATTTCTATAGTGGGTGGGAACTATCTGTTAAAATACTCTTTACTTTAACAAAATAATTTTAATTTCACAAATATCTAGTTTCCTGTTTTGTTTGAGAATGTTTTCAGCCTGAAAAGACAAAGTTCAATCTATTTGATTGTTGTGTGTTAACAACACTGCAATCAGAAAACTAACAGACATTGTATCAATGCATTATGTAGGGTTTTTTTTATCTCCTCATTGACTAAATTTATTAATTGGCAGACACCTCTAATATTTATGACGTTGATATCACCAGGGAACAGTGAATTTTTTATCACCAATATTGATTCATTTCTCATCCTCAATCTCTGGATATTTTTTCCACACAATACGTTGATAAAAATGGAGGTGGATTACAGCCTTGCTCTTCTTATTTTCATATTTCAAATAAAGATATTGATAAGAATAGTATATTCAATTTTCTGCTCTCTTCAGACCAGTTTGGTTTGAGCAACTCATAAATAAGATGATTTCAAATAAAGATTTTGATAGGCAAGGGCATATACAATTTCCTGCTCTCTTCAACCCAGTTTGGTTAGGTACAACTGATAAATAAAATTATTTCAAATAAAAATGTTGATAGGAAATGGCATATTCCATTTTTGGCTCTCTCCAGCCCAGTTTGGTTTGAAAATTCATAAATAAAATGAAATGTAGTCTTTCCTAATATTCCGATTTCGCACACACCAGCATCTGTGCGTTTTTAACTCAAACAAATACCTTGCTACAATCTATAAAAGGATTAGGCCTATCTGACTCTATATGATATTACCTTAATCCTCCTACATCCTAATTAAAATACACACACATTTAATGACTTACAGTATACGAAGGGAGGGCTTATTAAAAAAATTCACTGGACCAGAAAAAGATCTGCATTGTTCAGCGCGCACACAGTATCACTGGTTTTACTCAAATGAGTTTCTATAACGGCAACGTGTGGTGAGTGGTATATTTAGATAGAAGCCTGAGTAAATTCACGATGTACTGGATGAGTCATGTCGTTCATTATCTTCTTAAGTTTAGCTAATGCGTATTTGTCAAAAATGTCATCTAAATGTACAATATCTTATTTAACTATTTTCTTGGCAGTCTTTCGGATTGAGTCTAATTTCTTTATGTTTTGTTTTGTTAAGATAAGATATATTTTTTTACTCTAGTTTCAACAAGTATGTCACATTTCAAATTACAGTGTTTTACTTCGGTAAAATTATTATTTCACCGAAAAAGCGTAAATGACCTGATTCATCCAATCATTAGCATGAAGGAAGTGACCGAATCAGTTGCTGGAACCTCTTCTAAAGTAAGCAACTAATTGATAAATAGATAAATTCCTACTTTCCTACCAGGCTTATTTTTTAATTTTTTCGCAACTTCTTCCTCTCAATATATCCATATCTTTATCAAAAGCAGAAATATCCCTTCAATCCTCATCACACAACTTCTGTATTAGGCCTTCAACCTCCTTTCAATTTTAACTTTATCGAACAGAACATTTCTCTAACTATCCTTTATGAATCTTTATATTTATCTGTCCAATTATTTCTGTAATTTCCGGTTTACAAATGTTTTAACTATTCAGTCATCTCTCTTTGGATTCGCTACGTAGATTTATAAACATAATTTGTGATTCATTTTAAAATTTGTATAAAACCGGATTTTTTTTTTTTTTTTTTTTTTTAGGTGTTATTTATTCTTCGTCCACTCATCGTATATCTCAGGTGTGCAATGGTTACCTGGTGCGATAGTAATGTTCAAAACTGGCTATTTACCTGAGGATTAAATTGCCAAAAAATTTAGACACTCTTCACACATACATTAGGCCTAATAATTGTTGTCTGTATTAAATACACAGAATTACTTAAGCCTATAAATTTAAACATTAAAAAAAAAGAAAACAAAAGAAAACAAAGAAAGAAAGAAAGAAAGAAAGAAAGAAAGAAAGAAATAAGAGAAAAATTGAACTTAAACATTGTTTAAATAAAATACAGTGTTCAACTTATCTACTAGAATGGTGTGTACTTGTTGTGTATCTATATTGATATGTATAATTCATCTACTAATTTATCAATTTGACCAAAGGGCATGCACGAAGTATATATAACTGTCCGATGGTTCACGTGGATAGACCACAACGTTAACCCCAGTAGGCTAGACCTTTAGACTTAAGCCCTATTTATTTCACAATGTTATGACGAAATGAATCGCTTTGAACTTCGATCATTGATCTACAGTATCTGAGACGAGTGTCACATCAGCTGTGGCTTGACCATCCACAATCTACGTCGATAAACTCAAATTAGTATATAGTTGCCAGTAATGATAATTTAAGGTCTAATAAGGAAGTTTCGCAAACTTTACAAAAAAAAAGTAACTATACGAATAGGCCTACTTAGGCATAATTATATGTCAATGAAATGAAATTTATCAGAAAATTCGACCAATTTAAAACGGCTGTTACTGTAGCTATTGCTATTGCTTTTGCATTTGATATTATTGCAATTGCTATTTTCATTGTCATTGTCGTTGTCAATGTCATTGGCAATGTAATTATCATTATCAGTGGCGTTGTTATTGTGAAGTAGGGTGTGGTTATCCACCCTAGTTATCTGGAGGTCGTATGTTCGATTCAATTGCGATTTTTTGTTGTTTTTGGGGAATGTACTGAGCATTCAGTACGATAACACGTCAGGTATATAAGACCAAAACCTCATTTCTATCAATTTTCATAACGCAACCAACATTGAAACAACACCGATATAATAAACATTTGCTACAAAAGTGCATGACTTGACCTCTGTTAACGCACATAGCAAGCCAATCGTGTATCAGGAAACGTAAGAGCATCAACTGTGATCAGACCATGGGGCCTATTATTATCAGCCATTGTTTTAAATATAGACCTGTCATTTAGGCCTGCTTGTCTCCTTAGGAAGTCAATCTACTCTGCATGGACATTAAAATATAATTTGATTGGCATGCTGAAAAGATAGGAATTAGGGAAATTCCCTATTCTCCCGTAGCGCCGTCACGGATTATATTAGCGATGTTAATATCATGTATATAATCTAATGTAGGCGTAGCTAAATTCATTGGCGGATTTAAGGGGAGGGGATTCCTGGCCCCTTCCACTTTTTGGAAAGTAAGGGAAAAAAAGAAAAATAATAATTGATCGCCCAAAACGCATTAGAGCTTATTTTCGTGTGTCTAGAAAACAACGATTTCGCGGGGGCATGCCCCGTACCTCATAGGGTAGTGTTACCTCGACCGTCCCCACTTTTGGGGTTACCCCGCCCCCCTTTCGATCCCCTTTCGGACATCTCTGGATTCGCCACTGAGGTTTATATGCGCTTCTTACTGAAACAAAATTTTAAGTCTGTTCAATCAATCGATCAACCAACCAATCAACGAACAACCAATCAATCAATCTTTTAACTAACTTATCCACCGTTTAATCAATCCACACGGATCTATAGGCTAGTGCACAACAATGCGCAACAATTTTCAGTATTCAACCTAGGCCTAAATGTGTCAAATAATTCATATAACCGTTATCGGTACCATTTTGTTCATCCAATTAGCTTGAAAAGATAGCTATGTAACTTTTGCAACAGTAATAAATGGGACTGTCCATTTGATACTGTATTCGAAATTACGAAAGAGGGCAGCACCAGGCTTAAAGTCTTGGTTACAGAAAAAAAAATACTATATCTATCTTCAATATAATCAAAATGCATTCATTATTTGAATCACGTGGCCTCTCAACACATGCCATATCTCTGACGTCAGGGGTGGCGCCAGTGGAGGGGGCATCCCTCTCTAGTGTTCCTCTCGAGGATGTTCAAAGTGGCCCCAGATATTACTTACGTAAATCGTCCATCTTCGACATTATTTTGCCAATGTCTCCGCTTTTCATAAGCTAAACGCCTGCCCCTTAACTCAAGTGATAACTCTTTGTAAAGGATCTTAAATATTTTGGGGAACATTTTGTAAATAAACTTCAGTAGGAAATTATATCAAACTGTTTTGATTATTGCTGTCCTTCTACTTTAGTCTGTGATTGGATAGTAATTTACCTCCGCTAAGGAGGTAATGCATTAATCTCTGTATGTCTGTCGGGCTGTCAGGCTGTTTGTAGGCCTATGTCTGTTAGCAAGATTACGCAAAAGTTTGTGAAATAAATCTAAGAAAGAGGTTTGTATTCACTGCATTTTAGAGATCAAGTAAAGTCATCAAATCAAATAATGACAAGTTTAAGTTCAGAGTAGGTGGTCTTAGTCCTAAATTAATGGTCATTCCTCAACAGTTTTATTTCTTATTGCTTTTCATCATGCTGAGAATTTATTCCAAATACGTAATGGTCCAATGTTATCCAATTTAACTAAAATAAAGCCTTTACCTAGGTTTCTCCACCTTTTATTATTAAATTTAATTTGGTATGTGAAATAATTAACAAGAATAAGAACTTAGTATTGAGATTTCTGGTGATACTTTAAAAGTTTTCTTGGAATATTATGCAAATTAACAAAATGTTCCTCGAGATGCAGTACCGGTACTGTATAATTTTACCCAAGTTTGTAAGTCCTATTTTACCGAAACTGGAAATTGACTTTCCCGCTGAGCCCCGTCCCTGAAATTGTTACTAAAGTTCTAAACGACTTGAGTGTTTTGTTTTTTTTGTTTTTTTGTGGGACATGCATGGGATTCTGACTAATAAATATTCGTTCTGGTTGGTCAGTTGTTAAGTTGAATTAAAATTCCGGAAACGTGCATTAACTAGAATGTTTAAGGCTACATGAAATAAAACACATGTTCCTCGTCTCTTCGCGCATGTTATTTTCGAGCATAATAAATTAGTGTTATACTGCCAGGTCTGTATGTGTGTGTGTGTGTGTGGGTGTGTGTGTGTGTGTGTGTGTGTGTGGCGGAAGAGGAGTGGCGAGTTGTTGTGTGTGTTTTTTTTTTTTTGTTGTGTCTTGTAGGCTCCAATTTGGTATCTTTGGGAAGAAGAATATCTTCCTCCTCGGATGAGAGACATTAATTTGCACTGAGATTTATCCACACTATGAAGTTTTCAGTGAAAAATACGTGTTACTTGTCCATACAGTGTATGGATAATGTCATAATATATCACATTATCATACCCATGGGCCAATTACATATACTTACATAACACAATTTGTTATCGTTTGAAAAAAAAAATTAAAATTCACACAAAATATTCAAACTGCCAGGTAATATGCAAAGCACACACGTTTATTTAGTAGTCCGAAACCAAAGACAAATAGTGTCATTTTGTAAACCTTTAATATAAGTGGTAAATTACTTTTTCTAACTATCAATTCAAGATTTACTGTCTGTGATAAACCTAGAAAAAACATTTTAAAGGTATTGTAAACAGAAAATTGCTAATAAGCCAATTTGTTGTTTGAACTGTGCATGCCCGTATTCAAGGTCAATGGACATAAACCTACGTTGTGTTTACGTCTGTTTATGTCGATTGACAGTGATATGGGCATGCGCAACTGAAACTACGAATTGGCTTATTTATTATCCAATGAGCTCAGAGCAATTCATTTTTTTCAGATTTACATACTTTTTACAATAAAAATAATTTCAATATAATTTATAACAAGACAATTTATTGGATATATGAGCGGTGTTAATTATGGCTCAGTTTGGTAAACATATTAATATTATTAAAGTTCTAATTTTCAATTAAAAAATTGTATAAATCATTTAAATATATAGAATAAGAAATTAAAATATCGAATTGTATTATTTATTCTTATTAGCAAGACAAAGACGTGACAACATATCTTTATAATACTGTTTTTAGTTTTCTTTCATTATTATATAAGGACTTTATATTTGTTTTTAGCTTAGGCCTACTTATTGATTATTTAATTGAATAATCGCAAATGCTTCTTTTATCACAGAGTAATTTGCAATGGCTAGGCTATAATTCGGTAAATATTAAGGAAGTAATATTATTGCAAGGGGAGGGGGGGAGAATTTTAGGAGAGACATTTACAGTTTTCTAAAAAACAATCCAAAAGGTCAGCCCGCCATAAAAAACTAACTACCGTATCGGACAGTTTTGTGTTTGGCATGATTTTATGCAGTAGGCATTGAATCAGGCTAATGCAAGATAATAGTCATAAAAATAGTGCACTGCGATAAAAAAAATTTTTCCTTGCAGAAAATGAAAACTGAACTAAATCATAATCACATAAGCCTATGCATATTCTGAAATTCAGTTAGATAATTTGCCAGGGTATTGATCGCAATTGTTTACATACAGCCACATTCTTCGATTATCATGTCATCCATAATAATATCAACGAACACCGGCGCACCAGATACATCAGTGGCGTCCGATTGGTAGATGACCTGAAGAGGTTTGAGAACCGATGGTACGCAGCAACTGTTCAGCTGGAGACTGTTTGGAGTGTGTCTGGCGTATCCCATTAATGCCAGTGTACTGTTATACAAAGCACTGTTGGAGTCATCGCAATGTCCTTTGCAGTAGTTAACACTGAAAGAGTCTGGTGCCATGATCCATTCATCCCATCCGATCTCACTGAATGTAACTGTAAGAGGCTGGACACAGCACTGGCTCGTGTCATCTGAACAAGATGCCGTACTTCTAGACTCTCTTTTCTTAACCTGTTGCCTTCCAGAAATAATCAACGTAGGCCGTTCGTCTTTAGTGAAACCCAACGAAATTGTCGGAACGTCAAGGTAAACGGTATATTCTACATTTTCCGTCATGTTATCAATGCCTTCGTTTACACGAAGAATCCAGCGATGCATTTGCTCTGTGAGATCGACCGATACCCAGTCGTTCGTCGTAGGCGAATCTAGTACATCTGCGTACACAACGTTGCCATCGATGTCAGTAGAAACACGGATACCATAGTTGTGTCGGAGTGTTGTAGGTTTTATAAAGATCCACACCTGTGCCTTAACCACTTCGTCGTAGCTACGTAAAGTGCTTGTTTTTAGTTTAAATGTCACAATTGATGACAATGCACCAAACACCAAATCAGAGGAAACTGGAAGAAAACAACTGACAGTCATAATAAATTTCCTCTTAAGCCTGGTTTCATTAAAATCGCTACAGTGTTAAGCTCGGTTTCCATACAATCGGTCACCCTATCCCTATCGGCGACTGTCGCCGACAGTTTCAGTGAAGGTTGAACCTGCTTCAACTTTGCCGTTTGGTTGCAGACGAATCGAAGTGCCTTCCCGATTGCGTCTGGCCAACTACCAATGCACCCTGATGCGTCTGCAACACAATCGGCAAAATTAAACCATGTTCAACCTTCCCGACAGCTGTCGGAAACTGTCGCCGATAGGGTGAGCGATTGTATGGAAACCGAGCTTTACCAGTGCAATCGTTGTACTGCGTAGCCTGAGACAACTAGCAATTGCTATAGTTGTCTCAGTGCGTAGCAGTCCTTGACGCAGTCGGGAAGGCTTCCCGATTTGACCAACCAATCAGCATCAAGCTCGATTTCCATACAATCGCTCACACTATCGACTACAGTTTTCGGGAAGTTTGAACCTGCTTCAACTTTGCCGATTGCGTTGCAGACGAATCAGGGTCAATTGCTATTTGCCCCGACGCAATCGGGAAGGCACCCCGATTCGTCTGCAATGCAAACCAGGTTTAACCTTCCCGACAACTCTCGGTGACTGTCGCCGATACGGTGAGCGTTTGTATGGAAATGAGCTTCAACTAAAGCTGTGGGCGATAGCGTGTAGCGATCCTGTGGTCAATATTTAATATTGGACCAGTATTAACTCTGACAGATATTATCTTCAACAGTTAAGCCTGGTTTCCTTTAAATCGCTACACTGTCGTTACATTGTTTTTAGTGCAGTCGCTGTACTGCGTAGCAGTCCCCCAAGCAATTGGGAAGGCTCCCCGATTCGACAGACCAATGAGCATCACCGAAAGCTATCGGCGATAGGGTGTAACGATTGTATGGAAACAAAGCTTTTACCATGGATCTATCCCTTTTACTATGTAGAATTTATGTTTCTACATACATTTCAATATTTAATTTAAATGTGTTTTTTTTTTTTATTCGGATATCATTTTTTGTCGTTTCAAATCCTACATTGGTAGCATGAGGACATGTTATTGATCACGCCACAATTTCATTGAATTCATATTCATTTAAAAAAATTCCTTCACACTCAGTCGTAAGTACGGAGCATACAATACTTATTATTCTTAGGCGGAACACAGATATATGATACATCCTCATCATCATTTAAAACATTTGAAATAACAAGACAAGATCGTTGAAGAGAAAGGCCAACTTTGAATAAACAATTGTGCCGAAATTATGAAACAAATTTCAAATGCTATTATTTTTAAATAGAAAGTCTGTGTTAATAAAAAGATTTGAACTCCAGTCTTACTCAGATCCCATCTGTAGTGAATCCGATTAGAGGCTTTTAGTATTACTAGTTTTCGAAGCCACTCACTTAACTTGAAACAGATATGACATGACCTAAGATGAATAGCTTATGAAACCCTAAAGAAAAGAGAATGGGATTATCTGACAGCCAAGTTTTCACCAGGGTGAAACTGCACCCACTACCACACCTGTCTAGATGTCAAGGTCCCAGTCCGTAATTCTCCCATCTCAACTATAACTATATGTATTTTAATAACTGGGTTATTATGAGGAAATATACATTTCCTTTTGTCAGAGATTTTTTTCAAATTGAAAAAAAAAGGCAAATACTCACTTTTGTCAGCTAGAATGGCGGCACTTTCTACACTTTGCCCTTTTTGAGCGTTGTTCTCTACCGGTTTGTCATTCACAGTAACAATAGTTTTCTTAAAATTATTCAGTGGTACTTTCGGAAATTCATGCAATGATTTACTGACATTTGGCGCCTCTTTTAGATTAATCTTCTGCAGTATTTTCAATTTAAACAATTCAATACGCAGTTGCATTTCTTCTTTGGCTGTTAGATGTTTGTGTTCAGCTTTTTTCTCACCGTCTACACAACCGGTATTTGTCTGTTCCGACTCACTGTAATCTTCGCCATTGTGTTGGGAGATTGGTAGGCTTAACTGTTGGGTAGGCGATGGGCTAGAAGTTGCGGGTAAAGTGAAAACATTGCTCAACGCGATGCAAACGAAACCGATAACCAACAGGTATAATTGAGAGCTAGATACAGCGCCCATGGTTCCACAATCTCCTGAATTCCGAATCGAATAGACTATTTTCATTCGATAACACCCTACTTATAGTTTTCCACTTAGACTGCCAATCAATCATATCAATCGGTTTCAGATGATTCGGTGTTTTAGAAATTTACACTTTCATATCCGGAAGACGAACAGAGACGATCATCGGTTGATGGATACATTAACGTCATATGAAGTCATTTTGTAACGAGCGTAATTTCGAATGACAGATGATATGCTTCATAATACAACAGGGAGGAAAACTTGAATCCTACAAAAAAAAATAGCAGCGGCGGATATAAGTTGGTCCGGAGGCATATTTCCCAGACTTTTAGAATTTCTTTAGTGAACTAAATTTGTCACGGTGCCTTATCTGACCTTTTTCAAATACTAGGACCTCTTTCAAGTGCATCCTTTAGCATGTTTTCAAAAATCAAGTTTGGGTTGAAAACATGCTAGTTTATTGCGTTGACAGCCTCCTTTTTTTAAATTATTATTTTACAGGGCCGTAACCACCAATACGGTTGGTCAGGTTTCAACCTGACCACATTTTGACAGACCACAATTAATTGATTAGTACTTGAATAGGAAAAAAAAAGCTAAATTCCACCTGTATATTTAGACTGAACCTCCTTCCTCTTGATTCAGGAGCCCCCTGTCTCTGAATTCTGTGGTGAACGGTTAATGATAGTTTTAAATTATTTTCTTTAGTGTAAGATTTATAATGAGTGATTAAGAAACTAGCTATACATTTTTTCGTCAGTTTAAATTCAATGTCTCTGTGGGCTTAGCTTTTATCCAAATCAAGTAGGTCAATTACTACAAACAGTGAGCTATTGCAGAAAACCAGACTATAAAGGTTCCCTTACACACTTGCCTAGGATGTACTTACATTCATTTCTTCACTAAATTACCTAGTCAACTGACAAAAAATGACTTTATCTGTATATTTATTCCTGTTAGTTCTAGTATGCAACATTAATTCTATAAATAAATATATTGTAAATATACCTTTTTTGAGCACTTTTCTTAAATACATGTCAAGCGCGGGTCCAGAGTTTACCCCGACTATCGCACAGATGTGTTCCCATAATGGGTAGGGTCATGAGAAGAGAGCTAGCTTGTTCTGTCGCTGGAAGACAAATTTTAGTGGGGTGGGCTGGGTGAGGAGATCTTCGGCTCTTCCTTCGAAACGTTTTGTTTTCTAAATGCTTTGAAATACACTTCCGTGCATTATGAGACGTCCATTATTGAATACACTCTAAATTCATAGCTATTCCCTACTCTACTATGGACAATTAATAATTATGATGATGAAGAAGATGATGATGAGAAGGAGGAAGCTAGGTAATGATAGGCTCCTATGCAAGGTTAATTAACAGGTCCTTTGACGTGAAGTGTCAAGCGAGGCCCGTAGCCTGAGTTACGGTTGAGAATTTGGCGGCATTATTGTAGTCAAATGTTTAATGCACACAGTCGGACAATAGTTATGATATTTAGTTTGTATAGAAAGTAATATGAAACCCATAAAATATTATCAGTTCAGGCATTCATTTATCTGTCTGTGGAAAATACAACAAATGAATCATACAACAAATGAATCAAAATCAAAATAAAAAGAATACAAATAAAAAAAACATGTAAAAAACACCTACATTAAATGAAAATTTAATATTCACTTCCTGTTGGATCGCAGTTTTAGTGCTGCAGGGGTTTGAAAGGCTTTACATTATAACCAATTAATTATAACTGATTAAAATATAAAATATTTAAGATTTTATATTTAGTACATTCTCAAATGTCATGTAAATCTTATATATCCCAAAAATGTTCGTGCACCGAAGTGGGAAGTTTAGCCTAGAATATAATTTTGATATGTTTCATGTTGTTTGTTGAATGGTTTTTAATGATATTACAGACTAATATGACCATAACACAAGGAAGTCCTCTCTTTTAACTTTTAAACTTCTAGTCTAAACTTTGCTTAGTTTTATATATTTATATTTTCTTAAATCATAAGGAAGTTGTTTGTTGAATGGTCTTTAGTCATACTATAGCCTAATAGGGTCTATGACCACAACATAAGGAAGTCCTCTCTTTTAACTTCTAAACTTCTAAACTTTGCATAGCTCAATATACATTTATATTTTCTTCAACCATAAGGAAGTCCACTCCTTAAATTAGTATAGATAGTACAGAGAATTTTGATTAACTGTCAATCTCAGATATTCAAATTTTAGGAAATCACGTTTTATGCATGTAACGACGTGAAAACTTTGACCTAAGAACTTTGATATGTATGTGTTATGTTGTTTGTTGAATGGACTGTCTAATATGACCACAAAATAAGGAAGTCCACCATGTAAATGTTAGCATAATATAGTACACAGAATTCCGATTGTTTATCATTATCATTATGCACATGTTAGATCCAAATTTCAAGACATTACGTTTTATGCACGCACCGACGAGGAAAGTTTAAACATAGTAGTTTTGATATGTAGACCTACATGTTTTATGTTATGTGTTGATTGGTCTTAGTTAATAATACAGTTTAAAATTCATATTATGATAATAACTTGGTCATAATATAACTTATTCTTAACCGGGAAGCAGAATAATGCAATTCTTTCAACAATTGTACTCTGACCAAAACCAAACTTGATTGGTGTGATTTTACTTTCACTAGGAAATTAATTAAATATGCAAAATAACAAAATACAATAAAATTATATATGCCATCCAATAAGGTTATAAGATCAACGCACATGTATACTCTTCCTGTGAATGTTTTTTGATTAACCATACACCGTGAAATAAATCAAAATAAAATGATAATAAAAAAAACTCAACCGTATATCGCGCAGCCGATTTAATTTCAGTTCAATTTAATTAATACTGTAGTTAGACAATGCAGAAATGTATTGCATTATTGTCTGTATTTTTGTATTAGCATTTCTGACAGAAAGAATTGGAATTTGCCAGAACACCAGGCACAGCAATCGCTTTATTTAAAAAAAAATATCCTTTAATCTCTCACCCTGAGCTTTGCCATGGCGAACGGTGCGAAGGTCTGGATCCGCGCCTGCATGTATTGATTGAGTGTCATAGCAATGTGATTTTTCATTTCACTAGGATTTCAATAGGCCTATTAGATTTTTGTCAATGTTAAGAGGCAAAATACTAAAATAACAACAATGTTGTGAGTAACAAGAGATGTGTATAAGAGACAGGTTTAATGCACACAGTCTGACAATAGTTATGATATTTAGTTTGTATAGAAAGTAATATGAAACCCATAAAATATTATCAGTTCAGGCATTCATTTATCTGTCTGTGGAAAATACAACAAATGAATCATACAACAAATGAATCAAAATCAAAATAAAAAGAATACAAATAAAAAAAACATGTAAAAAACACCTACATTAAATGAAAATTTAATATTCACTTCCTGTTGGATCGCAGTTTTAGTGCTGCAGGGGTTTGAAAGGCTTTACATTATAACCAATTAATTATAACTGATTAAAATATAAAATATTTAAGATTTTATATTTAGTACATTCTCAAATGTTATGTAAATCTCATATATTCCAAAATTACGTTATATTCATGCACCGAAGTAGAAAGTTTAACTTTAATGTTGATATGTTTTATGTTGAATGGTTTTTAATGATATTATTACAGTCTTATGACCACAACATAAGGAAGTCCTCTCATTTAAACTTCTAACCTACTATACTTTGCGTATCTTAATATACATATATATTTCCGTAAATCAAGGAAGTCCACTCGGTAAATTAGTATATAGTGAATTTTGAAAGTCAATCTCAGATATCCAAATTTTAGGAAATTACGTTTTATACATGCACCGAGATGAGAACTTCAACCTAATACTTTGATATGTATATGTTTTATGTTGTAATACCATACTCAAATGTACGGTATTATTTATTTAATAAAATAATATTTAATTTGTATACAATAAAATTTTATCAATGAGACTCTGTCTCTTATACACATCTAGATGTGTATAAGAGACAGGGTTTGAAAGGCTTTACATTATAACCAATTAATTATAACTGATTAAAATATAAAATATTTAAGATTTTATATTTAGTTCATTCTCAAATGTCATGTAAATCTTATATATCCCAAAAATGTTCGTGCACCGAAGTGGGAAGTTTAGCCTAGAATATAATTTTGATATGTTTCATGTTGTTTGTTGAATGTTTTTTAATGATATTACAGACTAATATGACCATAACATAAGGAAGTCCACTCTTTTAACTTTTAAACTTCTAAACTTTGCTTAGTTTAATATATATTTATTTTTTCTTAAATCATAAGGAAGTTGTTTGTTGAATGGTCTTTAGTCCTCTCTTTTAACTTCTAAACTTCTAAACTTTGCATAGCTCAATATACATTTATATTTTCTACAACCATAAGGAAGTCCACTCCTTAAATTAGTATAGATAGTACAGAGAATTTTTATTGACTGTCAATCTCAGATATTCAAATTTTAGGAAATCACGTTTTATGCATGTAACGACGTGAAAACTTTGACCTAAGAACTTTGATGCGTTATGTTGTTTGTTGAGTGGACTTCTTTAATAATAATATTACAGTCTAATATGACCACAACATAAGGAAGTCCACTCTGTAAATGTTTAGCATAATATAGTACAGAGAATTTCGATTGTTTATCAATATCATTATGCACATGTTAGATCCAAATTTCAAGACATTACGTTTTACGCACGCACCGACGAGGAAAGTTTAAACATAACAGTTTTGATATGTATACAGTTTAAAATTCATATTATGATAATAACTTGGTCATAATATAACTTATTCTTAACCGGGATGCAAAATAATGCAATTCTTTCAACAATTGTACCCTGACCAAAACCAAACTTGATAGGTGTGATTTTACTTTCACTAGGAAATTAATTAAATATGCAAAATTGTCTTCTGTGATTTTTAAAATAACAAAATATAATAAAATTATATATGCCTTCCAATAAGGTTATAAGATCAACGCACATGTATACTCTCCCTGTGATTGTTTTTTGATTAACCATACATCGTGAAATAAATCAAAATAAAATAATAATAAAAAAAAAAAAACTCAACCGTATATCGCGCAGCCGATTTAATTTCAGTTCATTTTAATTAATACTGTAGTTAGACAGTGCAGAAATGTATTGCATTATTGTCTGTATTTTTGTATTAGTTGAGGTAGGTGGCATTTCTGACAGAAAGAATTGGAATTTGCCAGAACACCAGGCACAGCAATCACTTTATTTTTTTTAAATGTCCTTTAATTTCTCACCCTGAGTTTTGCCATGGCGAACGGTGCGAAGGTCTGGATCCGCGCCTGCATGTATTGATTGAGTGTCATAGCAATGTGATTTTTCATTTCACTAGGATTTCAATAGGCCTATTAGATTTTTGTCAATGTTAACAGGCAAAATACTAAAATAACAACAATGCTGTAACAAGCTAGTCTTGAATAAACCTGCCTGTTTTGGATACTTAGTATTTTTATTGTTTTACTTCATTATAGCTCTGGTGTTAGTTTAAAAAATATATTTTTATAAAAAAAATATTTTAAACTATGTATTAGATTACTACTACAGAACATCATTAAAATTGGTGTATACAATGGAAAAATAGCAATTTTTCCCGGGGCCTGAACCCCGGACGGGGCCCTTGGCGTCCCCAGCCTCAGTGCTCGCTTCACTCGCAACCTGAACACTTCAATTTTCGTGGCTACGGCCCTATTTTAACAATGGTTTGTGTGGGCAACACTTGTAATTTCAGGGAGGTGATGAGTAAGAACCTTTAACAAATTGCGGTGAAAGAGAAATGTCGTTTTGGCTTCTTTAAGCCCTTTCAATTGGACAGCACTATATTGACGTATGAATGAAATTTTATTTGAAACAGGCCCAAACATACTGTGGACCGTACCTAAGCTACAGGCATTTGCTCATGTACCCCTACCTAACATAGGAAAACTTCGTATTGATGATATCTTGTGAAAGCAATTAATGCCGTAGCCAGCTATTGGGACAGTTGGGACAGTCCCACACAATTTTTCTATTGGGTCCACGAAGAATGGGTCCACATTTTAAGATTTGTGCCCAGATTTCTCATATTTCGTACAAAATGGGTCAATTTCTCATATTTTGCGTAAAATGGGTAAATTTTTAGAAAATGGGTAAAGATTTTTCATATTTTTGCGTAAAATGGGCCAACTTTTAGGAAAATGTGTCCACATTATTTGAATTTACGCGTAAAGTGGGTCCACCCTGATATTGTCCCACACCGTTTAAAAATCCTGGCTACGGCATTGAAAGCAATGCACAACAACCTTGTATATTCAGCAAACAAAAAATACCAGAAAGACGAATTACCAATGTAGAAAAAAAGGCTATCTGTAAATGTCCAGACAAGGGTTGAATATTACGGAAGTAGTTTCTAAGAAAAAGTGTGCTATGACGACAGTCTGACTTGTAACGCCAACGGCTCGAACTTTCTGATCTCTTTGTCTACGATATAGTAATTACTATATTATTTATCTTATACCGTCTAGATAAGCCGAGGGGAAATTGAATGCATTACTAAGATAGATACTAAAGGTCTGATAGAAACAATGATTGACAACCGATAAAGTGTTGAAAACAGCAAACTACGAAACAAAGAAGAAATCAGAAATAGACGATGAGAAATGGATGAACATTACGTCGAGGCGAGACCGAGGGAACTACTACAATTTTGCATTGAAAGACCAAAGGAACATGAAGACGAATGGCAAGAAAGGAGAGAACCAAGATGGGATGGAGATCATGAGGAACAAGAAGAGCAGAAGACGACAGAGATTAACGAGAAACAGATAAAAAAATGTTTTCACTGATTTAGACTTTTTACTACAAAAATCCTTAAATTGATTACTAGCCAATTTAAGGATCCATGCAAATGAATACAGGAAAGTTATCATTTAACTGTCCGAAAATTCACTGAGGATTTTTTTTCTCATTCAAACTTTTAATTTAAGTTAATAACTTTCTTAAATATACAAATTAAACAATTTACCTCATGACGGATAGTACATCTTTGAAGTACGGTATTTCCAAAAACTAAACAATACACAATTTTTTTCAAAGGGACTTTCAAATTTTTTTTCTCCTCTTATGGGGGGGGGGGGCAGGGTGTTCTTAATCGAAATGATTACAAAAACACAATATATGCAAATAATAAGATACTCTTTTAAACTGCAATTTTAAAAATATTTTCTCTTTATTTTATTATTATATAATACTGGTTGCTGCATCTTACAGGGTTTAGTGTCAATCACAGGGGTTCCAAGTTGGAAGAAATTCCCTCTGGGTGAACTTGTTAAATGAGATTTCTTAACATACCTAATGTTATTTTGCTATGAATGGCGATACCCAACGGCACTTAGTTCTGTGAGACATTTGATAATACAGTAGTGAAAACATTCAAATATGAATTTGCAGGTTATCGTCCAGAAAGTTCTGGCTTGCTTGCGGGAGTGCAAGAGGCTGTCCTGAATTCCGGGATACTCCAGCGACATCCCAAAGACTTGGGACCTCTGCAATCATACTTCTTCGCCTGAACTACTACCATAGTCACATGATACAAGTATTCCAGTCGTATTCTTTAATGAGAGTACCGTATTTTCATTTGAATCAATCAACTTTGTTGAATGCACTTCTGATATTACACTAGATTTTGTTTTGTCGGAGGTTTCATAGCTGGTCTTTGGTTTTTCTTCAGGTAGTCTAGTTTTAATTTTTAATTCTGAACAGTTCTTCTCTTTATCTACATCTAACAAATCGTCATGCGTTACTTCTGATTGAAATGTCCTTATTTCTTCATCTTTTTCAAGTTTAACTGAAATATCTGTGTGAGCATTTCCAATTGTCTCAGTTTGCTTCGTTTTCTTCTTCCGTACACCAATATCAGACATTGCGTAATGTCGTTTATTTGGAGACGTACTAAACGAGACTTTGCTCACCGAATCTAACATTTTGTTACCCAGGCTTTCAACAAGACTTTTATTTCTGCCAAGAAGTGTATCAGTTTTTCGACTTGGTCCAGTTTTCTGAGATGAAAACAATGGTTTGGTTTGTATTTGTTGGCGTTTTTGTTTCTGCTTTTCATCAAAAGCTGTGAAAGAAATCCAGGAGTGAGGATTAAGCTACCGTTTATGGAAAAAGTTCAATAAATGGGAAAGTAATTTATTAACAGACTTGGAAATGGATATTCTATTCTATATTTAGTCAATGACTGTCTGGGTTGTGCTGTCGACTTTAGTGGGATCATTCACATGTGTTAATGCCATTCGTATTATCATTAATCATTCTCACTGCTGTCTTTAAGTCCTCAAAATCTACTTATGTTGGATAATAAACAAACGCATAAGAAACTAAACAAATAGTACATGATCTAATGAAAAATATTTCTGTAATAATATTAAATACATTTTATTAGACACAAGATTCCCTGGAATTCCTAACTGTGGAAACTGTAAAATGGAACAATTTTTGGTTTTTCCATCATGTGGCAATTCCATGCCTTTGACATTTACATTCAACATATGCATCTAATTTTAGTAAGAGTTGGAATACTGTTTATGATGAAAAGGAAGACAGAATTAGATTTGCTTAAAAACTAGGGATTTGTCATTATGAGGAAGACATGTGGGGTCGGGAGCGAGCTTGTAGTGGTTCTTAAAAGTTTTGCGTGCCTAACCTTTCACTTGAGTATAAATTTATAGAAATAATATTTTACCCTACAAATATTTATAGTAATGGTAATAGTATACTGAAGTTGTGGATTGTGAAGAAATGCTTATTAGCCCATTTTGTTTCACAAATACAAAATGTTGCTAGTAAACTTTTTAAACATCATTTCATGAGGAAGTGATAGGCACTGCTGTTCTTCAGAACAAATAAACCGCAAGAGACTTGAAGAAATTAACAATACTGTATTCAAGAACTACAAACAATGAAAAATAAGTTTCTGATTCCACGAACTAACACAGAATAATTCATGGTGTGAACGATAATTTGAGGAAATCAGATAAAAGTAATAATTATGTTACCGAAAGCCTCATTAAACTTGATTCCATGGCTGGTAAAGCTGTCCAGATTACCAAACTGTTGTATGCCCATATATAGTCATGATGTGCCCCTATATATAGTCATGATGTGATGTCATCATGACCATATTTAGGCATGTCACATGGTTTTGTCAAATAAAATTAGATAGCCTGGACAGGGCTCTATACATGCATGATTATTCTTAGATCAAAACACAGATCAGACTAGAAACATTAATCAGAAACTTAAGCAGAGAAACCAGAGTTAAATTGACTTGACAGTAAAAAAGGCTCAAATAATACCTACACTGTATAACGTTGTATTTCATAAGAGATGCTAACTGTTTATCTTCCTCTGTCTCTGGCACAAGTTCAATATCCAGGGAGGACTTGGCAAGAAGCTTACCATCAGCTAATGTTCTTGCATGAAGATCCTTTTTCTCAGTCTGCAAAATATCAGTTAATGTTCATCATTTGTTCTTTCCCTAATGCAACTAATTCTCAATTTCACAATGGACAATAGATGGTGAAATTTTCAAATACACAAAGTCTTCTTTTAAAAATTTGAGTCTGTTGTGCCAATAAACATGATGATAAAATGATAAGATTCAATTATTTCCTAATCTCCTAATTTGTGCATTTAAGTTCTTACCTTTAACCTGCATGCAAGAATAATGGTCTGTTGCTATTAGATCGTGCATGCTTGGACTGATAATGGTAATAGCTATTAATAATTATCTTTTTTCAGAATTCAGTCAAAAACAAGTTTATTGTGTTATCGAAGTTTGATCAGCAACTTATATTTTTAGAATTACATGATAAAGTCAGCGGTGTAGCCCTCTTCCCAGATGTGCACTCCAAAAAAAATCTTTCACCCCAGTTGGCCTCCTCCACCCACCCCATTGAAAAATGCTGAAGCTAGAGCCATCTTACTTAAACATCGAGCCTCCTCTTATGTCAGTCCCCTATTTTGAGACTCCTATATACATCACTGGATAACATATCTAATTAATTATTTAAAGCTTATTAAGAGCGACTTTTTAAAACATATACATGTACTTTTAGGGTCTTTTTGGGTAAAAAAAAAATTCTGATTGTGAATATTTAAGATTTGTACTTAGGTTAAGGCTACATGAAGTTTATGTTTGTCTTATTATTACCATTGTCGTTATAATTATTATTTTCTTGTAAATACAATTATCATTATTGCTGTTGTGATAACTAATATTGCTATTGCTATATGATCACCATTATTATATCAATAATTTCATCCTTAATTTCTCATTGTGGAATAATTAATATTCTCATCATCACTGTATAATTATTATCAATGTCCATCGTCATTATGAGTTTAAGTTTTGTAGAAATTTCAACATGGAAATTTTCATCATATTATGTATGCATCTATAATTGGCATCAAGCCTAGAGATAAACTTAACCCCAGTGAACCAATTTTCCTTTTCAGATGCAAAAAAACAAACAACCCAACAAAATCTCATGTACACACACACTAATGACTCCCATATTTGCTCATTTAACCTGTGCCTGCTCAACATACCCTGAATTTACGTCGTAGCATCGAATTCTGCTCGTAGTCATCCTTCCAGGATGATTGTCTATCTGCCAGCTGACCTAATGTTGGCATAACTAATGTTGATTTTTTCTTATCGTTCACTCCATGCTCAAGTCTGTTCATCGCATCTGCAGCTCTCTTCTTCAGTTCTTCCTTGTCTGCATCGTAAAAAAAAATAATTTGACGGAAATGTTTGTTACCAACTTTTTATGATTACATTAGTAATAAAGAATATTAAGAATAATTTGTTGTCATATTGATCCAGGTTTTACAGGCATAGAATTATAAGAAAAGACTTTTCAAATTACTAATATTAATTATAATAATACTAATAATAAATTTAATAAGCCATTTACTATTTTTATTATCTCTTTATGATTAATTTTTGTTAATATCATCAGAATTATTATCATTACAATTTATATCATTAAACAGTAGGCCTATTATTTATTACTATCATTGTCAAAAAAATAATTATTATTATTACTATCAAAATTATTATTCATAATTACTTGTCTGCTGGTAAAGGCCTCTTTCAAACAATAATAATTACAATTTTTCATTATTATCAGAATAATTGTTATAATGTATTACTGATATTAAGGTCACTTTTCTTGATTATTTTAGCAAGGTTTCTGTCTCTTACATTTATTTTCATTTTATTAATTATCAATTTTCATTTTTTCCCCCCAAATATTTCATTTGTTATTACTTGATTAAATAAAATATTAAATTAAATAGTTATCTGCATCCCAATCATCCTCATTTTTAGTTCAAAAGTCAGTTTTTACACAAGTTAAAAAACAGAAGGATGAATGTCATTTGATAAAAATGGTGATAAAGTCATTTATAAGCTCAGTAAATATTACCCTCTGGTACCACTTGCTCATTCTCCTCCATGTCCCATTTCTGGTTCTTTCTCCGAACACCACTGATGCACTTGTATTCACAATTTTTCGGATCTGTCTCCATCACTAGATAATTGTCACATAAATGACATTTCATCTTGAATTGGTAGATGGGTGTGGTGTAATAATTACCAACCTTTTTCTTCTCTGCATTATATCGTACTCCTTTAAATGAAAACAAAATTACAATTTCAAATATTCAATTAAGAATATTTCAATAAAAAATTAGTTTGATCTAGTGTAATTCAATTTTCACTGGCGATTTAGAGGGCTTAGCTATATTTTAATATTCCTTTTACTTTTATTCACTGCATATCCAAGTTCATATTTAAATTGTACTGTAAATAAAACTAAATACAGTATTTATTCAAATAAACACCCTGCTTTTGAATAAATGCGCGCAGTGTTGAAGAACATAAACTACACGATGATAAGTTGTTATCGTGTCTAGTGTAAATCAAGCTTTAGTAGGACATGCATTAATCTCACTTGATCTGGCCCAGTGGCGTAACGCCAATGGGCACTCGAGCGGCGGTTCGCAGGGCCTACAACCCCCAGGGGCCTCCATAGGGTCCTTGAACTAGCACCCTGATTCAAAGGGCTAAGTTTATACATAACAGCATAATGTGTCTCTGTTATCGACCTTAGAACATTATCATATTATATCAATGGTGGATTAAAAGGTGTTTGCGAGGGTAAAGCCGCCCAGCCCACTCAATTTGTCAACATTTTTATTAATTGAGATAAAAATAAAATTATATTTAAAATTAAAGTCTGTGAGTGCCATTTCTGACCATCTAGAATTGCCATATTCATAAACTTCCTTACTTTATGTATGGACCTATTACTGATATTAAGGTCACTTTTCTTGATTATTTTAGCAAGGTTTCTGTCTCTTACATTTATTTTCATTTTATTAATTTTCAATTTTCATTTTTTTTTCCAAATATTTCATTTGTTATTACTTGATTAAATAAAATATTAAATTAAATAGTTATCTGCATCCCAATCATCCTCATTTTTAGTTCAAAAGTCAGTTTTTACACAAGTTAAAAAACAGAAGAATGAATGTCATTTGATAAAATGGTGATAAAGTCTTTTATAAGTAGTAAATATTACCCTCAGGTACCACTTGCTCATTCTCCTCCATGTCCCATTTCTGGTTCTTTCTCCGAACACCACTGATGCACTTGTATTCACAATTTTTCGGATCTGTCTCCATCACTAGATAATTGTCACATAAATGACATTTCATCTTGAATTGGTAGATGGGTGTGGTGTAATAATTACCAACCTTTTTCTTCTCTGCATTATATCGTACTCCTTTAAATGAAAACAAAATTACAATTTCAAATATTCAATTAAGAATATTTCAATAAAAAATTAGTTTGATCTAGTGTAATTCAATTTTCACAGGCGATTTAGAGGGCTTAGCTATATTTTAATATTCCTTTTACTTTTATTCACTGCATATCCAAGTTCATATTTAAATTGTACTGTAAATAAAACTAAATACAGTATTTATTCAAATAAACACCCTGCTTTTGAATAAATGCGCGCAGTGTTGAAGAACATAAACTACACGATGATAAGTTGTTATCGTGTCTAGTGTAAATCTAGCTTTAGTAGGACATGCATTAATCTCACTTGATCTGGCCCAGTGGCGTAACGCCTATGAGCGCTCGAGCGGCGGTTCGCAGGGCGTACAACCCCCAGGGGCCTCCATAGGGTCCTTGAATTAGCACCCTGATTCAAAGGGCTATGTTTATACATAACAGCATAATGTGTCTCTGTTATCGACCTCAGAACATTATCATATTATATCAATGGTGGATTAAAGGGTGTTTGCGAGGGTACAGCCGCCCGGCCCACTCAATTTGTCAACATTTTTATTAATTAAGATAAAAAGAAAATGATATTTAAAATTAAAGTCTGTGAGTGCCATTTCTGACCATCTAGAATTGCCATATTCATAAACTTCCTTACTTTATGTATGGACCCTCCCCCTCTCTAACCTCCTCTATCTAAAACCTCACAATGGAATTGGCGACCGGGACCAAAAAATTGACCCAGTGCCAGAATGCCACAGGGCCCCTGGTACCAGCGCTGATCTGGCCTGTTCTGATTATCATTTCAAAGTACTGTATTCATCATTCATAGAGACATAGCATTTTATTAGTCTGTGGTTTGCAATCATCAGTAAACAGAGGTGGATTTGGAGGTGGGAAAATAGAGAATGGGAGATAGAAGGAACAAATCTGGCTTTTTACTCATTGCTAAATGAAACTGTCAAATTCATTAGGCCAACTGAAATTAATTGCTGGTTTCACGTGCAGGATTTGAAATTATTTTTTGGCGAGTTTATTTACTATTTATTATTGGTAAACAAGCTGGTAAGTACTAAAAATTGTTATTTATAAAGAAAGTGAAATAAATCTACTAACCATTTATGTTTCCACCTCTTCTTATGTATTCAACAAAAATCTTTTAGATAATCATTATATTTATTTTCCATGAAAAAAATGATTGTGTGTGTGTTTTTTTTTTAAATAGCAAATAGTAACTGTTCGTAAGTTTAGGGAGGATGTGAAACCAGCAGGGCATTTCCGTAAATTAGTAAACCAAATGGTAAAAAATTAAAATACATCAAATGTGTAGTGTGATACATCATTTTGAAGCTAATGAGTTGTATTAGCCCCGTTTACACTATCAAATCTTTTTTGACAAAAACATGTGACATGCCTAAATATGGTCATGATGTGATGTCATCATGACCATATATATATATTTTACATATATAGCCACATCATGACTATATATGGCATACAACACACCATACCCATTCCAATGTGGTTGCCGCATCCTTCACACCAGACGTTATACGGCATTTCATATCGAATCACCAGGATACCGAGATGTATCTTGTTTGCACGTTCACGCAGCGGATGACTGTTGTGATACTTGTCAAGACTACGATGTTTTTTCGGATCAAAGTCCGGGGGGTAGTACTTGTTGACACCTTTGCGTTCACCCTGTTAGTAAATTTGATGAATATTATTGTCAATGTCATTTAATTGTAATAATATACTATAGAAACAAATATTTATTTAGAATCTGAAATACCAAATTTGCATGGAAAATCTATAGAAAAATGGGTGCCCAGTTGTAATCATAAATACCGAGTAACACGTTGGTTTTATATTAAAACACAGGTCAAGATCTAAGGTTCTGCAAAATTTGTGTGGAATTCTAATAATTTTAAAGATAACCTACTCAAGTATCTGAAAATCAATATTAATAAGTTATTATATAATCTTAACTTGAATTTACAACATGGCTCATATTAATAGATCATATTATCTACTAAATATGGGGTTTAAAAATACAAAATTAAACCAAGTAAAAAAAAAGTTTCTCGTTCTAGGCTTACCCTAGGCCTAGTTTTTAGGTCGCGTCTTCGGCTAGCCGCTGGCACTCCTTTAATCATTTTTATTATTTAATAATTAATTTACGCTGTAGCTAGAGATACGGTACCGTATTTCTACTTCCATTTGCTAAAGGTACGATAAATGGCATTACGTCACCATCACCAATGAAGTGCCATCATCTCTCAAGACCGACATTGCAAATTGTCCACAGTGTGAGGCGAGCGGTGTGACTAGCAAAAATTGTACTTGATTAGCACATGATTAGCTAGGCAAAGAGTACAGTTTTTTCTTATAATACTGTCACCAAAAAATAGGCGTAGGGTCCCACTCAGTAATAAGAGTCATTTCATTTGTCTAAGCCTTATCAACCAAGGCATGAATCCTAAAAATGTAGGCCCAGGCACATACGGTACTAACCAGTTTTTGGTCTACTCTGTTTACATGACAACACTTGCATTAAAAAAACTGATATACTGTAAACAAAAAGATTTATATAGGCCTACTAGCACTTTATCAGGGGCGGATCCAGCAGGGGGCCAAGAGGGCCCGTGACCCCTTTTAGGCAAGCCGAAAAATAAAAAAAGAGGGTGACAAATTTGAGTTAAAGAGAGGAAGAGCTAAAAAAAGATTGCACCCATGAGTTCAGTGGCGATACAGCAGTGGGCGAAAGGAGGGCTCCATTATTTACCATTAACTGGTGGGGCTGAGGTGGGCGTGGCGGCGTGAACTTCATATGTGGCAAAGACAAGCCAAACCAGTCACTCGTCGGAAAAAACAATTTTCAGTTATTAATACAGGGTTTAACAGTAAAATGAGAGCTATAAAATGGTAAAAGAATCATTTAAATCCGACACTTCGTTATGAAGTTACACAAGTTTAAACATACAGCTGTTTAAAGAATAATATTTGAGAAATCAGCCTTCAAAGTTTACGATTTCAGGCATTTAGGCAGAAACCATCACCAAATCGTTAAAAATTGTTGTTTTAACATTGAAAATGAGGAAAATAACAGCATAGCATGATGAATAGATATATAAAGGTCAGTTTAGTGCAATAAAATAGATTTCCAAAATTTTGAAATTCCAGCATGTTTTGGCCATTATCTCCAAAACAGGATTTGCGATGAGTGACTGGTTTGGCTTGTCTTTTTCACATATTGTGTGTACATAAAGTTGAGTAAATGTACAGTTGCATGTGCATTCAAAGTGTATGAATATTTTGGTTGGATTGTAAAGCGTAGTATTAATTTTGAGTATATTATAACCTAGATTTCTTAGACTAAAACCTGAGATGAGATTTTGGGGGTTGAGAACTTCAGACTTGGTATGACCATGGAGAAATAAGTTTATGACTGATATATATGCCACCCAGATCGATCTCTCTCAAAAAGCAGGGCCGCCGATTGAAGAGTCCAAGCGAAGAATTTGCAAGGCTTAGGCCACAGGAATGAAAGTTGTAGATTTGCGTCCACTGCCCGCATGCCTAAAAAGGTACCGCACGAAAATTTTCATTATTTTTAAAAGTTCATTATTTGGAAAAAAAATATACTTCATTTTAAAAAACGGACTTTCTAAGTCGTCAACAGACAAAAAAACGATCTATTCATCACTGATCACTCGTCGCGAACACCGAGCAAAGGCAGGCCTGGCCACATCTCACCATGATCGCCGATCACTGCTGAGGTCATTTACAGGTCAAATCGATCTTTCTGACCAATAGGAAATCTTGTATGTTCAATTTCCAAAATGTGTGCTCTGAAGCGTTCCTTTGCATTTCACAGTAATCTTTACTTTCTATTCAATACGTTCTTTGATCTCTATTTACATATGAAATATACATTTATGACCGTAAGCATTGTTTCTTGGAAATAAATGTAAAATTACCAATGCCGCGGCTTGTGGACAGCATTTATAAAAAAAATAATGAATAATGAAAAATGAAAAAATGCCTCATGTGTTTTCAAAATTTTTCGGACGCAAATCTACAACTTTCATTCTCGTGGCATTAGAGGTGTATGCCAAGAGTTGGGTACAGGATTCAGTCCTTGTTTGATAAAATGGTATGTAGTCTAGATAAATGACATGACTCTTAATGAAATATTTCCTCCATGTTGAGTGGAACCATACGCCTATTTACCGATGACAGTACACTATAAGTACAGTATTGTACTGTTTAATGTTCTATTAATTAACAAGTACTCTATCGTTCGTGTTTCACCGCTCATAGAATAGTGGGTGATCAGCAATGCCAGTCTTGAAAGATGACGACACACACACTCTGGCACTTCACTGGGTGATGGTGACGTAATGCCATTTACCGTACATTTAGTAGAAATAGGCCTAGGCCTACAGTACCATAATCTCTCTAGCCACAGTGATTAATTTAAGAGATTTGTAGGCCTACCTAGGCTATATATTTTTTAAATAATTTTTAGACACACATTCTCTTTCCATAAATTTAATTTAAATGAAGGTTTGGTTATTATCAGAATTAGTAAGGCAAATAGAAAGCTAGGCCTCCTAGGCCTAGGCCCTAGCCTTAATACCGACTTGACAGTGCCGACTCAACGTCTGTTTTTAGGCCTTGGCCAAATATTCGGATGTTAGTAAACAAAGGTTTAGTATATAGGCCTAGGCCTAGCTACGCGATAGGCCTTGGCTATACTCTTGCACTTCATTTGACCATTCTTAAAATTAGCCATATATATATATACACTAACCATTTTAAAGTTTCACTGGATAAATACAGTAGAAATTTAAATCTAGATCGGCGTTAACTTCGATCTACAAACGAGAAACTTCTGAAAAGTGCTTGTCCCGAAGAAGCAGTACGTTGATGCAATGAAAACGACTGGAATTAAGCCTAGGAAGAAGATAATCTTCATCATTGCTGTGATATCCAGCACGTAGAGGTCTGGCTCATGGTGATTCATCAAACGGCGATTGTTATAATACGCATGCGTTGACTATTCTAATAAATCTAAAGGGAGAAACAAATATGCGGTTAAAAATAAATGGGGTTTTTTGTGTGTTTTGTTTTACTTTTTTATGTTTTATTTATTTATACATATGAATAAAAAGGTACTATCTTAAAATTATCTAGCTATTTTTTCGACAAGTTGCAAATGTTCATAGTTGTATGATCAGGCTGAGAAACCATCATCATTCCTCCTCATCAGCATCATCATCATCATCATCATCATAATCATTCTACATTATAATAATTTCAACATCATTAAAATTATCTACCTTATCATCATCATTTATCTATTCATTCTTTATTTAGCCTTTCATAAAAATGACAATAACATTGGTACTTACAGAATACAAGAAGAAAGAAAAGAAAAAGAAAAAAGAACCCTTTATAATACTCCCCCTTATAACAATTTGAGCTATATTTTTTTTTTCAAATCTTTATTTCAGCAATCAAAAGTCATAATAATTCAAAATATAAAAAGACCATTACAAATGCAGAAAACAGAAAAGAGCATCATAAAAACAAAATACTCTAAACCCTAAGTCTACCATTATTATTATTATTATTATTATTATTATTATTATTATTATTATTATTAAAAGTGTAAATCTAAGGAGGCAAAAGCAATTAAATCACTGTAGCTCATAATTATCGTTGTCATTGTCGTCATGGTAGCGTCACTTAATATTATTATTATTAATATTATCATTATTATTATTATTATTATTATTATTATTATTATTAGTCTCTGAGGATCATGACAAAGTCTTGGTTTATTGCACATAGATATCATTGAATCGCAATTCACCAGTTAAATAATGGAATCGTCTATGGTGCTTTGCTGCTTTTTCGACTTGTGCTGGATTTCGCATTGGTTAACGTCACTGGGACTCTCATTGACTGATACAGGTATTTCGCCGGTGTTGATGTCCAAAACTTGGTTTAGGCAGGGAGTTTGCAAGGTATTTTGGAGAGGAGAAAATAACAGTTGAGGTTGATTGTAAATACATAGGCCTAGAGGTATTTTATGACCCCTAGTAGCACATACATATGCCCCCCCTACTATTTCTGTATCATGCATAGAATAGGGCCTGGCTGGCTGGGCATATTTAAAAGGCCCTAATTTTTTTCCCAGGGCAGATAAGGGGACCCGGGAGACTTCCTTGTTTTCGCCGTTTTCAACGCATCAGTGCGGTTGAGAATGAGATCCTGCTTGTGACTATGCACAATTTTATCAATTTATGAATGGGCTAGGATAGGTCCTAGTACTAGTAGTATCATTGATTTATTTGCACACAAATAAATTGAAATTTTGGTTGGCCGCAAATGACTTGATATAAATTTTCTGCATAACATAAAAACCTGAATACTGTTAAGGCCTAAGGCTAGTACTAGGCCTAGGCCTAGTTCTAATACTGGGCCTGTATGAAATGAAAATGAATAATGTTTTTATTTTTGTATGTTTGCATTTGCATATGGGCCTAGCCTAGGCTAGCTGGCCTTTATATATCGGTTTGTTCCATGATTTCTGCCATTTTTACTGCAAATTCATATAGTGTTCTGCACTGAATTTGGATTTTGTTACAAATAATATTAGGCCTATACTTAGTACAATTTATAGGCCTATAAAGTCTCTTATAGTTTAACATTTTATATATTTAATTCAATCTCTTGTGAGAACAGCTCTTAGTGTCGTTTGTTGAACTGTAGTAAAGGTTGTACAGTATTGTATGTACCCAGCTAGCAATATTAGATGTTATACGGTATTAGAACGTTCCAGTTTGGTGTTACGTTATTTTTTAGAATCATAAATACGCACTCAAAACTTAATTTCATATGACGTTCCTGCAACATTGTGTGAACGGTGTTTTGTGACATACCTAATGTTCCTGATCATAAGAACATTTTTGTGTTTGCTGGGGAGGCACTGTCATGTGTGCGCTGAACCACGAAATTCCTTGGTCTGTGGTCAACGGTGCTGCAACTTGCTGACAACCATGGATTTTCCTTTAAAAAATTCTAAAAATACATTGATATGTCAAAAGAAAGAATCCAAAATTTCAGCTTCAATTTCCAAGCATTTTTTAAGGTATGACCTTTTGAAACTTAGGTACCACGCCCCCTTTTTTATTCCGGTAATGGCTCATTTAACTTTGTATGGTTTTTACGCAGCTATATCTTCTGGAATAATGAAGATAAAAGGTTGTAAATTGGTATGTAGACTGTTATTTGGACTCTCTTTCAGGAAATACCATTCAAATTTGTGTAGCATATTTTATTGGAATGCTATATGCCTCCCAAAATCTCAGGAAGCCTTCATTTCAGAGGGCTGTATCTTATTCTTTTAAGTAAGTTAAAATTATGCATGTGATGAATATGCTCATGCTACTATATATAAAAGTGTGCAAGTTAATAATTAGAGCAGCAATAAAGGTATGATGGGGTCCCGAACATGGTTGCAGGGCCAAAAAGGTTTGTCTTATCTTTTGTTGGAACATTGTGTTGATTGTAACCTGTAGTATGTATTTTATCAAATTTGAATAAGTACGTAACAAAAATGTCTAGAGCTTTGTTGGATAAATATAATCTGACCAGTTATTCAGTTCATGCTAGAGAGACAGGCTTGGGAGGAAAACATGTTTGTTGATAGTGTATTATGTTCTTAAGCATCGATCGCAGTGGGCACGGCAACAGTGTTACTCTGTTGACTTCCAATAAGCTATTAAAGTGATGAATGAAGACAATAATCACCAGATATACAATTGATTTATCCAGAGAGCCAACAGACTCATTTATTAATGTTTATATAATCAGAGATGTCTTGCAGTTGTAATAATAATATTAAATATTCAATAGTCTAGTATTATTAAGCCAGTCTATCCCTGGGAAACATCTTTATTCAGTACAGACATCAAGTGCATAACTCGTATCCTAACTAGCCTCCCGTACATGTAAATATTTCAGAATTGTCCATTAATTTAACCTATTGCCCAAAGAGCTGTTACAACGAAGAGGGTAAATTACAATGTATTGTAAAACTGATTTTTTTTTTCTTTTAGACACTGGAAGGGTGTTTGATGAAAACTTTGGAAAAGTGAATGACAGATTTGTGTTTAAAAACTGGGATGGGGGGAGAATGTTTGTTGAATAGTTTAATTTTTTGCTCAATGTTTTCATATTTTTTTTTTTTTTAAATTTTTCTGTGCAATTTGTGCTTATATCTTTACATTTTAGTACATTAGTATTTTTATTCATTGTACGGGAAAGCAAATTTCATGTGGTGTATTCACTACTCTATATGCCCAACAAAATAAACTTTGAACTTTGAACCTTATTTTTCTTGCAGAGCCAAGGAAGGGATCCAGAATGTTTGAGCAAGTGAGGCAGCTTCAGCTAAATCAGAATGAATTTCTTGACACTACTTTGCACTCACTAAAGAAAGGTAAGGAATGGCAAGACCAGTGCTAGGAGCTGTGAAGTAATTAGAGGCTTATAAAGGGTTTGAAAGAGGGGGGTTCAAAATGTTTCCAATAAACCCCAAATGACAGGGGGGGCGGAGGCCTCCCCGGAAAAATTTTGATTCGTAGATGGCCGGAAATGAGCTTTCCCGATTTCTGAGGAGTCTTTTAATGAACTTAAAGTTCTTCAAAATTCAAGGTTTTCCCCCTGAAAAGGTCAGGTAATTATATCTCATACTTTAGGCCCATACATAGAGAAAATAAATCAAAGACGTAGGCAATATATTATATATTCCAACAATATTGAGTAGTTGGATACGTATAGTCTTTCTTCCATAGATCAATGAACCGATAAGCCTGAAGAATGCACTTTCGTACATGAATTATTAGGTCTACGACGTCGAACCAAAAACAGTGTGTATAAGTTTATTCTAGTTGGGCTGAGACTAGTTTGTCTGATCTTCCAACTTATGCCTACTGTAGGTAGGTTTAGCATGCCTTTTGTAAGCTAGGACCCAGTAGTATTTTGTAACATTTCTACACAGAGGGGGGTTCGTCCGAACCACCTGAACCCCCTTTGGATCCGCCACAGGTAATAAAGTCCGGTGCCGAGAAGGTGTTGGGGGTCAATGTAAGTGTCACAGAAGTGCCAGAGGGATGGATTTTTTGAGTGATGAATACAGTATTAAGAATTAAAAGACTGTATTTTATAGGCAATGGTCACAAATACCATTCAAAATTTGTGAGTTAAAAACTACTGTAGGATTGTTTTATAAATTGTGGGTTTCCTTTTATTGGTCCAAGTGTCCATGTTCTGTAGAATGCTTGGTGTTAGCAGGAGCATTTTTTACATCTAAGGATTGATAACTGCAACGCCTTACTAATTGGCCTGCCTGACTACCAACTAGCAACAATTACCGTGTCTGCAGAATTCTGCTGCCAGATTGCTGGTCATGCTTAAGAAGCGCGAGCATGTGTCGACCTGTTATTAAACCTTATTTTAGTTATTCACTTAGGAGGAGACTGAGGTCAAGTACCATAGACTTAGCCAGCGAGCCATCCCCCGGCCATCTTCTGGACGGCCTACAATTATTTAGGACAGCCACTTTTACTTGGACGGTTTGGCCTAATGAGCTCGGCCTAGCCTAATTGGGCTGGTCTACCTTTAGCAAATTCTTTATATTCTTTATAAATTTAATGAATGTTACATTAACTATAAGCTAAATCATATTTACATTTGATAAAAACAACATAATTGATTAAATGTACATTGTTTTCGTACCAGTATTCGGTGTTGATTCCCAAAGATGGCCGTGGCCAGCCCATCGGCTCAGTGCCACGCCCACTGGCTTCCAATTTGGACGGCCTATTTCATTTTTCTGGCTAAACCCCTGTCAAGTACTAAACATCATCTTCAACAAAAAACTTAAATCAAAGTAGGCCTATGGATCGAGATCCTTAGCTGTTGCTGCTCTTGCTCCTTGGAATGACCTTCCATTTTTCATTCGTAAAGAGAATAGACTCTCGATGCTTTAAAAAAAAAACAACTGAAGTGCCACCTTTTCTCATAGAATTTAGCTACGTGCTGTTTGCTAGCACTCTTAAGCCTTGTTCGCACTGGATTTAAAAAATGGTAAATTTAACCAGGGTAAATTTAACCAAAGTCATGGGTACATTTCACCATTGTTCGCACTTGGATTATTCACGCGGTTAGTTTTACCATAGTTTTACCAATATTTAACCTTGTGTATAAAAAATATTATTGAGGGCGCTAGTTTGTGACTTCAACTTCCGGTTTTGTTCGAGCGGTGTCAACATGGAAGAAGTTTTAACCGTGTTGCACGTTCGGATTGGAATTCTTGACGAGCGTGGTTAGTTTAACCGAGACCGTGGTAAGTTTTACTGAAATTAACCATTCGGCTTGGTTAATTTAACCCTGAGGGAATTGTAACCGACGTTCGGATTGGATTTTTTTTGGTCAATTTAGCCAGTGACTCGGTTAATTTGACCAAATTAAGTCCAGTGCGATAGGGGCTTTACACTTTATTGTATGGAGCGCTTTAAAAATGCTTACTTATTATTATTATTATTATTACTTAAAAATCTTGCACTATTAATATTATATAAGAAATCTGCACATTTTATTGTACAAACGTGACTCTTAAAAAATGCATAGCTTATCTTTAGAATTGTTGAGTTTCTAATAAATTAAGACTAACCACCACCCACTGTTCATGATTTTGTTTATTGACTGTAGGTTGGATTTTGCATTTTGTGCTTGGGTCATCCCTGCAAGCAAGCAAAGTACGTGTTTTCACCAATCATCCGACAACAGCTTCCAAACGTTTCAAGCGCAATGAGTTCTACGAACTAGCTTGGGAGAGCCATGCCAAGTCGAAATGTGATGCATCCGACAACTACTGCGAAGTACTCATAGCAGAAGCTGGATCTTACCAATATTATTTCACTCTTCAAGATGGGTGAGTTCTTTGGTTTGATGCAAATTTGAGTGGAATGGCCAAGCGGTTAAGGCAGGGGCTTTATTATTATTATTATTATTATTATTATTATTATTTATTAATTATTAATATTATCTTTGAATGGTTTAATGTACTTTTCAGCTTTTAGTCAAAATTTAAATCAAATCGTTTTGTATCTGGATGGCTGAATGAGAATAAACTCTTTAAAAAAATTGCTTTTATTTGGTTCTAAGAAGAAACTACATGGTGTAGATCTTGGCATTTCCTGGATTAGGGCTATTTAAGCAAGGACTTTTTAACTATACTAGAATAGGAAGCTAACTTATATTGCACTGCAGAGCTGATTTTTGCACTATTGTTAGTTCTGCACATGCTCAGATAAATTGTATCTCCCTGTGTTAAATTGGGTTTAAGTAAGGTAGGTCCTAAAGTAGTTGAATATGAGCATCTGAGAATTATATTTGTATTTTATATAGGTAAAAGTAGTAAATATATGGATTATTTTAATGTCAAAGTCAAAGTATTCTTTATTCAGCCAACAAAAGGAAATTCTATTGCTCGTGCACATAGTGTACAATTAAAAAAAAAAATTATTATTATTATTATTATTATTATTATTATTATTATTATTATTATTACCCTGTCTCTTATACACATCTAGATGTGTATAAGAGACAGATATATATATATATATATTGTGAATACACAAATTGGTCAAAAAACTACAATGAAAATTTAAAGATGCACATAAAAAGCTACAATAGATAAATTGAAATATAAAAGGTTTTACAGATTCACATCAAAATCATTAAAAAGACAAATTACAGTGACACAAATTGGTCAACACAAACACACTGTGAAATTTACAGGCAATGATTACTCATATAAGTAACAATAAAATTAAGAAAACAATGACATTTCAAAGAATTTCAAGGAATTGGCAAACATTTCCTGGAACATTAATTTAAATCCGGTCCGATCGTAATAAGGAAACACCATAAAGTTATGAGATAGTAATTAAAATACTTATTTCATAACTCTGTGTCAATCTATCGGCTTAAGTCAGAGTTGAACTGTCTAATACCCATAGGGATAAAAGAGAGAGAATGTCTATGTGCCCTGTAGGTTTGGGAGTCTAAATCTTCCACAATGTTCAATGTGGAGTGCTAAAATGACAGGGTTAAGTGGGTGACTATCATCATCATTATCGTAACCTGGAACATATCCACAAGCCGTTCTCGGTATCCAAAGTATACTGACCTCTCCCCCAGCACTGGATAATTAGTTTATCAAAATTTTAGTTGTTTCATGATTTTTTTTTTTTGCATACTTTATTACGGTTTGGGACGCTTTTCTATAACACGATTCTATGGACAACACAATGTCATGACATGCACGCAATGGATCGTTTTTATTGGCGATTGATTCAGACGGCCACCCGCAATCAGCAGACAGTGTTGCGTTATCTAGGACTTACAGGGAGCGGAGTTGGATACATCCGCCGAGGGTCATACGACCATCATACCCGGCTTAGGGTAAACCCCCTTTGTGGCCAAAAGCGTTCATTTTACAGGATTTGAACCCAGACCATTAGATTGGAAAGCAAGCATCCTAAACACAATGCTTAAATTTTGCATTGATGCTGATATTGATTTTTTTTTTTCAGGTTGAAAATAATTGGATCTGGTTACTTTGTTGTTGAGCCAACGTTGCATTTGACCTCAGAATCTGACCTCTTGCCTTTAGATTGCATCACAATACAGACAGTTCTTTCCAAATGTCTCGGCCCATTTTCAGAATGGGAGGACCGCCTCTCTGTCACCAGGAACACTTCGTACAATATGATCCATTTTACACCCATACAGAAGTTGGGCGCATCAAATTCCTCTTATTCCATCAACAATCAAAATAAATTGAATCCCACGATAACTGCTGGTAGTGATGTCACGTTCAACAGCATTGGTGAGCTTGTAGAGAAAATGCAAACTGAATGGGGAGTGCTGAGCGTAATGGATGTGGTGTGGAACCATACATCATTTGACAGCCAATGGCTGAAAGAGCATCCAGAATGCGGGTACAACCCAATCAACTCTCCACATCTTCGACCCGCTTTTATCCTTGATCGACATCTTAACCAGTTCAGCCGGGATGTCATGGAAGGCAGATGGGAGTCAAAAGGGGTTCCACCAGTCATTGATGCAGACCACCACATCCAGGTACATAATACAGGGTTCTCACCAGCATTTTGGAGTGTTGGTCAGCGACCCCCACCCCCACTCCTCTACTCTGGTAGTCATGCAATGAAAGTATTTTGTTAGCCTACACTTTTTTCCACTATCAATTGCAAAAATAGTAGTGGTCGGCAGCCTAAAAATACTGGTCGGAAATGCTGAGTGCTGGGCGGGGGCCGGACCACCGCCAACCAGCGTGGTGTGAACCCTGATAATATTACCTTAGAAATTAATGTTCTTTGATGCAAAAAAAGATTGTTGATGCATTTTTTAAGTCCTGTACAGACTATTACATTTTATTTGAGTATCAAGATGTCATCATGACCATATGTGGCAAAGACAAGCCAAACCAGTCACTCGTCGCAAATCGTGTTTCAGAGAAAATGGCCAAATTATGCTGGAGTGTCAAAGTTTTGAAAATCTATTTTATTGCACTAAACTAACCTTTATATACCTACACTAGCCCACTGGGCAAGTTTACTGTATATTTCACTAGCCCATTGGCTATTTTACTAGCCCAATCAATGGCTACATTTTACATGTTCTTGGCCAAGCCTAATTTGAAGCAGTAGTTTATAACTGATCACTGGCCCACTGGACTAGTAATAAGATAGGTTTACTAGCCCAGAGGAGTTTTTACCAGGCATTATAAAATGGACTAAAAGCACTAAATCGAGCCCTGGTATTAAGAATTGAGGCCATGAGATTGGTCAAAACATTCAGGGAGACCAGAGAGAAGATTGAGAGGCAAGATGATAGAGTTGTTGAGTATAAATAGGAAATGTTTAGTCATACGCTTCTATGGTAACATTTTGAAAACTAATAGAGTAAACCCTCCAATTCAAGACCACTTTAGGTCAGAAAATTTGGAGTGATCTTGGGGGTCCGGTTTTACATCTGATAGTGCCATTTCTTGCTATATTGAGGTACTATAATGTTAACCTTTTATTACCTCAGCCCCAACTGTGGGGGGGGGGGGAGGCTGAGGTATCCCTCAAATTGGGCCCCTCATTTTTAAATTGCTGAATCATGATGGCCATAAACCGTGCTGTCTTGTTTGTATAAAAATGTTTTTTCCTTTAACTAGGCAATTCAACACGTTCTTCAGGAGCATATGCTACCGGACCTGAAGCTTTGGCAGTTTTATCAAGTTGATGTTTCCAAAATTGTTGAAGAATTTTATGCACATGTCAAAGGTCAGACAAGTGTTTTATAAATGATTAATTGATGGCAAAAGCAATGATGTTACCTTCAACAGTGCAAACTTATAACTGTTAAATAGGTTCAGGTGGCTAAAAGTACGGCCTTGATAGAAATAATTTTTGCAGCCCATGACAACCGTATGTGTGCTGCCCTCCTACCTTCTTTGGCAAGAAAACCCCTTGTTTTTATAGGCTCCAATACCTGTAAAAAGTAATATTAAAACTTAGCATAAAAGTAGTGGAAAGTCAAAGTTTAGGTGCACCCTCAGTGTTAAATAATAAATTCACTTTGACCCTCTGATCCATTTTTATTCCCACCCATGAGCTATAACATATTTAATATTTCTTAGCTTTAAGAAAACCTATTTTGTATATCAAATAGTCTAGTGGAGGGGATTAAGTCATCAATTTATGTCTGCACCTAGTTTGAGCCTGGTTGTTAGTGAGTGAGTGAAAAGATATTGTGTTTTTTTTTGCTACAGATATACCATACACTAAGGATGATGATGTCATAGATGCAAATGAAGTTGTTATCATACAAGACCCAAAATTCAAGAGATATGGATGTACAATAGATATGGATATTGCTGGCAAAGTCTTCCATAACAACAGGTGTGGTACCATATGTACTTGATTAACAGGTCATCTCCTAGTTTAAATTGTGGATGTCTGTGTCAGAGGTCAAGCCAGATAAACAAATATCTAGCCAATCTCAAATCATATGATATTTACTGTACACATGTTAAAGATTAATTCTGTAAATGTGGCAAAGACAAGCCAAACCAGTCACTCGTCGGAAAAATCAATTTTTAGTTATTAATACATGGTTTAACAGTAAAATGAGAGCTATAAAATGGTAAAAGAATCATTTAAATCCGACACTTCGTTATGAAGTTACACAAGTTTAAACATACAGCTGTTTAACGAACAATACTTGAGAAATCAGCCTTCAAAGTTTACGATTTCAGGCATTTCTTAGGCAGAAACCATCACCAAATCGTTAAAAATTGTTGTTTTAACATCGAAAATGAGAAAAATAACAGCATAGCATGATGTATAGATATATAAAGGTTAGTTTAGTGCAATAAAATAGATTTCTAAAATTGTGAAATTCCAGCATGTTTTGGCCATTATCTCCAAAACAGGATTTGCGACGAGTGACTGGTTTGGCTTGTCTTTGCCACAAATAGTGTTTGGGTGGTTTTGTGGTTATGCACTGTTTTTTTATGCTCCGTCAAAAAAAAAAAAAAATTAGCGTAAGCTTTTGTAAGAAGTTTGTCAGATAAGCATATATTCCTGGCCCTCTTCTGATCTACTCTGTATATATATCTGTGAATGCAATTATGGGTAAGGTTAGCATGTGTCCTGTTCAATAATTTTGTGAGAAAAAGAGAAATCTCAAGAGGCCTGTATTAACCTTCACAAGTTTTGTGTGCATGTAGTGTTTGTATCTAGGTATGTATGGATAATCAAGGTGATTTTTGTAGGAATATCTGTTTCATCCTTGTCATTTGACATGCCTAAGTATGGTCATGGCGACATCACATCATGACCATATATAGGCACATTATGACTATATGGGAATACAACTGTTTTTTGTGAAAGAAAATTGATAATCAGGGCAGAGCTTTAGGCCAGATGTGATATAATGAATGTGGGTGCTAAATCATGTCAACAATAACTATTTTTTTATGTGTCTAATTTTTCTATATTTTTTTTTTAATGATTTACAATAACTATGTTATTAAAAAACATTTTTGTAATGATTTCAGGTCAGACCTTGAAGGGGGTGAAGACATTATGGTAGAAAACAAATCGAAATTGAAGTCTCATTTGGAAAAACTGAATAAACACGCTGAGACTGAAGTGAAAGAGGACTTGCGATTGGCTGTCAATAGTGTGATGTCTCACGTTTATTACCACTACGTTAATCCCAGTGGCCCTCGTGTTGGCAAAGTCACTACCAAGAATCCGCTTGTGCCAAAGTCAGTTCTCAATTAATTATTCAATCAAGTATATGAAACTCAACCTTAGCGCTGTCCAGACATTCGCATTTTATTTGACAAAAACATGACATGCCTAAATATGGTCATGATGACATCATATCATGACCATATATAGGCATATCATGACTATATATGGGCATACAACTGTTTTGAGCATTTGATAGTCTGGACAGAGCTTTAAGCCACATTTACACTAGACACGATTACGACACGACAACGGCATGATACAAGTGCGCAGTGTTGAAGAATACAACCTGCGCGATGGTATGTCGTTATTGTGTCTAGTGTAAATCCAGCTTTAGTCAGTAAATCATAGTCTCACTTGTTTTATGATGTGTATAAGAGACAGCTTCAGGAGCATATGCTACCGG